GGGGGGTTAAGGGCCTCGCTCAGGGGGCCAGAGTGAGGCAAATGATGTTATAACTGGTCTATTTGGGTGTAATTGTGTTGTGAGCATTGTATATACAAATTAAATGGGTTGTGTTGTTGGGCTGTCAGCTTAAAATGTATTTACTTGTGGATGTTGCCATAAACAGTGTGTCACCTGCAGAAGCTCCATGTGTGCATGTGCAGTGACTGGGGTTTGGTATGGTAAAGTACACCCAGCTATAATGGGCACACTTTTCCACTGGTGAAAAAAAACCCACATTGTTTTCAAGTGGACATTCAACTAACAGTAACAAAAGTGTACCACAAAGGACCTGACTGTATAAAAGAACAGGTGAAACATGTAAGAGTGAATGGAGTGAACGAATGAATACAAAACAACAGATGATTTGATTGGAAAACCGTAAACAGCAACTCAGCAGGTGAAGTGGTGCTGGCAGCTGGCTCTTGAAAGGTAAACCATTCAAATGGATTGAAGTAGAACCATGAGGGCCTGGGAACAAAGAGGGAAACATTGAAATAAAGGGACTGAGCTGCGTGAGGTAGTTGATGCTGGTCATCACAACAAAACAAAAGTCTAATGGTCCTTGTACAGTGGAAGGCCTGGCCTGGCCTGGCCTGGCCTGGCCTGGCCCAGCCTGGACTTGCCTGAGCTGACCTGGGTTCCACACCAGGTTTTGTGTGTCAACGTTTATTTATATAGCACGTTTGCAACAACCTCAGCTGAACAAAGTGCATCACAAGAATTACAGCAACATAGATTAAAATATGATAAAATAAATAAAATTGAGTTTAATAAAAATAAAAGTATGATAAAAATTGGCAGTAAAATATCAATACCAATAAAATAATAGTACAAATAAAATCCAAAACATACTTTATTTCAGTTGCTGAAATTTCCCCAAAACTCGAATCAATCAAGTACTAATTAGAAGTTGAAGTGAAGGTTGAGTGTTGACATTGGGCAGTCTGGCCCAGTTCAGCTCGGTTTTTGGAACCTGAGACCTGGAGTTCCATTCAGGCTGTGCTGGTGCTGCAGATTTGACATCAGCAAACTGATGGCCCTTGATTTGTTCGCTGGCCGGGGGGGGGTGTCACGTCACAGATTAGTCATACTTCCAGCAACGGCTCAAAAATGGCAAAGTGAAAGACAAAATGCAAAATGACAAAGTGCAGATGTTGAGCTGAGATTTCCATGGTCTTGCTATGATCCCGTCCATATTGAGGTGGCATTCTGCTGAAAGCAAACACAACCAGAGCCAGGGAAGACCTGGACTGGGCCGACCTTGGCCGTATCAGACTTTACAATGCATAACAGGCATCAATGAACTAGTAGGGTACCTGGGAATGTTTTTTTTTTTTAGTTTATCACTGAAAGAATAAATGTTGTAAACTTTAACAAGGATCCTCACAGTTTACCACACTGCACTCAAAAACCCATCCCATATTGGTGGTATTTTATTTTTGGGGCAGTAGAATATAACAAAAACAGCAAACGCTGGATTTTCATTCATCCATTCATTTTCTAACACGGTTCAGTCAAGAGATGCAACAGAAACAGGCAAAACAGTTTCAGATCGTCTAAACCAATTGGACAAAAGACAGTCAAGACAATGTTTAGAACAGTATGTAGGACGGAGAAAGGAACAGACGGTAGATAAGGCTGTAGGTAGGCAGGACAGCAGGAAGGTATGAAGCATGGTCGATACAAAGGACTATAGGTAGGTAAGATGGTAGGTTCAGCAGTAGATAGGTAGGCAAGACTGTAGGAAGATAAGATGGTAGGAAGGCAGGCAGATAGGACAGTGGGTAGGTAGGGCAGTAGATATGGAAACAGTAGATAGGACAATAGGTGCAAAGGAAAGCAGGTATTCAGGAGCGTAGGTAGATAGAATGGATAGTAGAATGGTAGATCCACACAGGGAATTAGCAACACAGGACTATAGGTAGACAAAATAGTAGAAAGGCTGGATGGTAGGCAGACAGGACAGAAAGTAGGCAGAATGGTAAAAAAAGTAGATATACAAAGCAGGTATTCAGGACAGTAGGTGGGCAGGACAGCATGAAGGACTGAAGGCAGGCAGAATAGAATAAGAAACAATGATAGACAGGCAGGATCGTGAGAAGGTAGGATGGTAGGTAATCAGATTGTAGGCAGGACTGTAGATACGCAGAATAATTGATATGCAGTAGGTAGGTAGGACGATAGACAGGACAGTAGGTAAGGTGGTAGAATGTTATGTAAGTGTGTAGATTTTGAAGGTAGGACAGTAGAAGCTCGTATCTCTCTTGGTATTTTGTTTCTCCTCTCTTTAAAGAAAAAAGAGGCACTCTTTATAAAACTAAACCATAGTAACAGCCAACACTCAACCTTGTAATGTGCTAAACCTGGAATAAAAAAATAGGAAGCTTTGTTGGGTCATAGAGACCTTCAGCTCAGAACAAACTGGGACACTGACGTGAAAATCCTTTATCGACACTCAAATACTGCAGGCATTCTATCATCCCTGAGAGCCTGAGAGCCGGCTCGCTGACCAGCACGCAGAGCTCACAAACACACCGGACCGACACCTGGAGGTTGCACGACTCCAGCTCAATCTGACTGCACGATCCGTCTAATCATCTCTCAGCACATTGGCAGTAGATCACTGCGGTAGATTATTGCACTGCCGGCAACATCCACAGTGTAAGAGTCATTAATCCACAGCACTGACCGGGTGAGAAACACACAACTGTGTCCATCTGTGACATCACAGTCTCTCAGAGGTCAAACAGCTCAGTACCTATGCACAACTTTTGAAGTTAACACTGTTAGCAAAATATTTTGTGAACTAGTCAATTTTAATGGTATACGGCTAAAAAATATATAATGTGATAATAGCAGAGAGTTATGAAAAACATACAGTTTCAGAGTGTCACATTTCACTTTATGTTCAACGTTGGTGGCACGGTGACACAGATGGTAGAGCTGCTGCCTCTCGGCAAGAAGGTTGCCGGTTCAGATCTCATCCCGGGACCTCTCTGGGTAGAGTTTGCATGTTCTCTCCGTGCATGTTGTGGGTTTTCTCCTGGTACTCCAGTTTCCTCCCACAGATCAAAAACATGCATGTTAGACTGATGGTTACTCTGAATTGTCTCTAGGTGAGAGAGAGAATGGTTGTTTGTCTCGTTTGTCTCGGTTTGTCCCTGTGATGGACTGGAGACCTGTCTAGGGTGTCCCTCGTCTCTCGCACAGTGATGGCTGGACATGAACAACAGTGACCCCCACGACCCAAAAATGGAAAAAGCGGGTAAAGGGATGGATGGATGGATGGATGGATAGATGGATAGATGGATAGATAGATAGATAGATAGATAGATAGATAGATAGATAGATAGATAGATAGATAGATAGATAGATAGATAGATAGATAGATAGATAGATAGATAGATAGATAGATAGATAGATAGATAGATAGATAGATAGATAGATAGATAGATAGATAGATAGATAGATAGATAGATAGATAG